TATTTTAATGACAATTAAATTCATTAAATTCCTAACATATCTTCCTTTTTCCCTCCCTCTAAGTCTCGGAAATCTAAAGTTTAAGATTTGTATTTAAAATATGAACTAGAGTTAAAAATTAGTTTGCCAACGAAGTTTCACTTCTGACGTGTACTTTGTACGCACGCAGTTTTTTTTCTTATTAGATTAGGAACTGGTACGCTTTTCTCTTCAAGATCCCTAAGTCGATTTGGTTCGGTTACGTTCAGTGGGTAGCACATATTTAATGTTCGTGGAAAAAACTCCCTTAAATAACACTCAGATGTGGAACGACGGACTTTAATTTTTCGTATCACCTATACGAAAAATTAAAGTAGACATTAGGTTGGCCGTCCTACGTGTTTTACCTGAATATTATATAATAATATAGAAGTTCATACTTTAAGTTTAATTATTAAATTATCTTTAAATGTGAAACAGTTTATAAGGAATTTAATTTGTACTTCAGGCACTTAGTGGTTTTTAGGTGTTTTCTGTACTTTTATTTTAAATATATAATAAGCAATAATAAATAAATAGATAATAAAAAGTATTTTAGATAACATTTGTTAACCATGTTTGATTTGTTCATTGATTCATGACTCATTAGAACCATTCCTGTCCACGCGTCGGCACGTGTAAGCGAGCGTGGCTCGTAAAGGCTTCGTAGAAATTGTTATTATAGCGTAATATTTTGACATTAAAAAAATACTTTTTAATACAGTTGCTCAAAAAGTGGCGTATTGCAGGGACGTATAGCGTTGTGGGCTATTATTTCATACTCGAGCTTTTTCTTTACCTCTTCCCTACGCCTTTTCCGAACTAAGAAATTCATAAAAGTTTTTATGGTTCATGCAAATATGTATATCTAATTTGTTTCAATATCGGATTTAATGATTTGATTCAAAGAGTTAGGTTAGATTTTACCAATTCTTAAAAGGCCGGCAACGCACTCGTGAGCCCTCTGGCATTGAGAGTGTCCATGGGCGGCGGTATCACTTAACATCAGGTGAGCCTCCTGCCCGTTTGCCCCCCGTTCTATAAAAAAAAAAAAAGATTTCATCTCATTAAATTTAATTTTCATTTCATATCAATAAAAAAAATTCTACTAAGACTTGGCTGTATGGACAGCCTACATTGGCTACCCAGAATGGGTAAAGAAAAATCTCTACTTATATTTTTTTACGGTTTGCGCCATTTTCCAAAAATGTTCTTTGCGAGTTTAGTTGTTTGTTGCACAAAATGAGTAATTTCGACGATATTTTATTTGAATTATAACTTTTATAAGAAATAAATGATTAGTTACTTGAGTTTATTGTGTTTTTATTATTTTATTAAATTGCTTAATTTTTTCGCAACTGTATTAAAAATAGTTGTTCAGTACACGTGTGAAACCGTCATTGCAACTTGTTCCGACTGGCAACCCACAGCTTCGGCTGAGCCTCGGCTCAGGTAGACATTTGTCGGAAGTCTTTGCAATGACAGGCTTTCCGCACTCGTAATGAAATATACTATTTCTTATATATTATATATATTAAAATAATATATATAAAATATATTATTTTAAAACACCTAAAAACCACTAAGAAAGGTAATTATTTTCAATAGTGCGATACGGGAACTATTTGGCCGTATTCTAAACCCCGTACCGCACTGAACGAGCGCGCGCGCTGAGCTTCAGTTAGCCGTAGTGCTGTGACCAGTTATTACGTTTTTACAGAACGCGATATTTTATTCAGTTATCAGTAGTCATTCAGTTAAAAAGTTAACATTAACAAAGTATTATAATAAGTTATTTTTTTGTTAAAAATAGTTACCATAAGTAAAATAAATAATAATATAAAATAAGAAGTTACTGTTTTTGTTAACATAGTTCAGTACTTTTGTTAAAAAATAGTTTCCGTTGATTGTAAATATTTTACTTATTACACCCCACCCCTAGCAAAATGACTGTTGTATGCGCCACGACAAGTATTTTCCCGTAAAATCAACCATTTCCAAAAATACCAGTAAGTTTTAAGATATACTAAATATATATACTTAGAACCCCATGCGACTGCAGCTGAGTATACCTATTGATTGGTACAAAAAAAAATCAGCTGTGGACTTTCCATGTCTCTGTGGAGGTTTGTATAAACAATAAATCAGAATGCCAAATCGTAAAATGACTGCTTTACGACTGATTTGAGCGCGACCGCCGCTGTGAAAACCGCTGTGTGAGTTCTAAAAGTGAGTTACAGAATCGCAAGGCAGGACTACGTACGGGAAAATAGACGTCGTAACGCATATCAGGCATTCTTGATACGGGAAGTATGTCTTAATGCCGCAGGGAAGGTGTTAATAAACAGTGAAATAGCGCGTCACCATTTCGAAACGAATCACTCTTCTGAGACATTGGATTTCTCGGTACCACAATGAATGGCCACATTACACAATTATTTTTAACAAAAAATGCTATATGCATATCCATGATTTAACTTGCTGTAGGAAAAAAGCATACAATTTTCAGTCGTAGATATAACGCGGAAATGTTAGAGAGTCTGAGGCTGCGAGTGCCAAACACTAGGCGTAGCTTAGTAAGCGGTCGCAAAACTTTCACGTACAAATTTACTCTCACACATTATTGCACACTGCCTGAATTCACAAGAATTGCATTATTTATAATCTATATGTATAAAAATGAAACCCGTTTTCCGTTGTCACGACATAACATGAAAACGGCTCGACCGATTTGTCTGATTTTTTTTAATAATATTCCTTGAAGTACGAGGATGGTTCTTACGGAGAGAAAAATTAAAAAAAAAATGAGTGAAAAAGTCTAAAAACAACTTTTCTATATTCCCATACAAAATATTCGTAATAATACTTAAAAGTCAATTTGAACTTTAATACCATATTATAGAGTTCAAGTGTTAGTGGAGGGGTTCCGGGAAGGTACATTTTTATTTTTGACATAATGTATTTGTTGTCTTATCAACTTTCTTTTTTTATCTTACTAGCTAGACCGGTGTCCCGAATAGCAGAATAAGTATTTGAAAAAAAATAAAGAATAGACTGTTAGGCGGTACGATGTTCGCCAGACCAGCTAGTTAGTTATAAAAAGGTTTTATGTTTTCTTGTTTTCTTTATATTATGTTCTTAGTTTAATTTGTATATAAATAAGTTTTCTATTGTATTAGTATTAAGTTACTGTAAGAATAGTAAATAAATAAAATAAAAATTTGTATATAGTAAGTCTCATATATAGTAAAAACAGTATTTTTATATTTCAGATATTTAATTATCTGTTTTATTTTGTGTTAATTTTGATGTTTATTAAACTTTAAAGTTAAAATTATACCGTATTTAAAGATGTCGAGTTTATTTGCTATCGATCACCGTATCAAAGTTCCGTTGAAGATTTCAGTGAATTCACTCTTGCACCAAATATGTTTAATATATGTAATGTTTATCACTAGGTGTCTAGATAGTAGTGGTTTCGTGTATTTTGGGAAAATCTCTTGCGACCTCTTCAAATAGCACAATAATTTACTAACCTAACCTTCTTTAGTAATTTAGTTAAAACTATACAAAGTCGGTGTAGTAGTTTTTCAATCTATTTTTCACGATCATACAAACAGACGCCACAGCCGGGTAAATTATGACTTACATATTTTATAATAAATAAATAAGAAACATAGAGCAGTGTTGGCCTAGCGGCTTCACCGTGCGACTCTACAACCTGAGGTCGTAGGTTCGATCCCCGGCTGACCAATGGACTTTCTTTCTATTTGCGCATTTAACATTTGCTCGAACGGTAAAGGAAAACATAACCTAAAGAGGTTGTAGCGCCAGTGATTTATTTTTATTTTCTTTAATAAGAAACATGCTTATTAATTAATAATTATAATATATTTTTATTTTTATCATGTTCATAAATATTATTATTCACCTCTGATTTATTCGTTTTGTTAAACATTGTGTTAAATTTTTTGTGATATTTTTCACATTTCTAATGGGTAAATAATAGCCATTTAAAAATATTGTAGTATTAATTGCTTCGGATGATGCAATCAAGATAGATGAAGACTTCTTAAGACTATGTTCAATTGGAATTTAAACAGAATCATAATATATGTATTTACATAATTCAATGGGGCTCTAGTACGCAAATATGTCTCTGTATTCAGCAAGTTTGAGCTAAAAAATTTATATGTTAAATGAAATACTTTGTGAACTGGCTGGGTGTGAACAGGCTTTAGTTGTTTAAAATATGAGTTTATAACTAACATAAACATAACTTGGCTTATTTAACGGTTCTTAAATCTAAGGGACACTTCAATATGAGACGTGTAGTTGAACTTTTTGAACATTATCGGAAACGAGCATGTCAAATTACAATTTATGAGTGTGGAAAAAACTAAAGGGCTGATTTTGGCTTTAAGTGTGCGATGATTGCTAACATTTGGTTTACGCTACTAATTATTAACTAAATAAAATATATGTAACTTAACTAATGTTCGGTTACATAACTCGAGTGACAAAGAATTTTGATATATTATACGATATATTTTTGGAAAAAGGCATTTTGAATATAAATACCCCATCAGATTTAAGTCAAATGTTTTGTTATCCTTATTATGATTCAGTATAATTTTTATTAAACAATTATACAAATTTAAAACGTAATAGCTATAAATAATAATTGAAATTGATGAACGAATTTAATTTCATTATTTAAAATAATTTCATGATGAGATTTATTATCATAAAATAAATCTAATCTTGAATCTGTCGATGCTATTTTGACAGTTAAATTTCTAATACAGTATTTAAGTGTATAGTATCTGTGGCCTGACGACAACAATTGTCAACAATTGTCATTACGAATAGTCAGCTTTCAGTTGCCATTACCGATTTGTCAATCGCCAACTTATTAGAAAAGTGGAAAAGGCGTTCATATAATTTTTCTTTTTCGTAAAAGAAACTCAGTGTCCCTAAAAATGTTAGCATTGATTAATCGCATCCTGGATTGGATTAAAAGCTTGTTTTGGAAGGAGGAAATGGAACTAACTCTAGTTGGTTTACAATATTCGGGAAAAACAACTTTTGTGAACGTCATTGCCGTATGTATTATCATTAAACATTTTGTTTATAATCCCGCAGCGGTCGAGCTGTTTTCGAATAAAGCTCTCATTAGAAATGTTATTACGTTGCGATTACGCAGTCAAACATTATAGATATGATGAATACCGTTGTAGTAGTGTACACTGAAAATTTAGTCTCTTTCATACACATCACTTTTTTATTGTTACAAACGCCCATTGGAAGCTAATTAGAATATTGTAGTTATTTATAAATACATTTTTCCTAGTAGGTTTTCAGAACAAAACATGATTAAAATCTATCATGACTTAAGAACAATGGTTCAATACAAGTGCCATTGACAACAACATTTATTTTATTTTTGTGTCTTTTCAGTCAGGGCAATTTAGTGAAGATATGATACCTACAGTCGGCTTCAATATGCGCAAAATAACCAAAGGCAATGTTACTATTAAGGTAAGTTTATTATTATAGCATATAAATGTAATCTTTATATTTTAAGTTATTTACATTTCTAATGGACCTATATATCTGTACAGGTATGGGACATTGGTGGACAGCCCAGATTCCGCTCAATGTGGGAGAGATATTGTAGGGGAGTGAATGCTATAGTGTAAGATACCATTTCCTAACTTTCTAGCATGAAATTTTAATGTTTTACACACTAATGTTAAAAACATACTATTACACACTTCATTGATGATTACATTGTAGTTTTTCATTAATCTTACAGTTACATGGTTGATGCCGCTGATCCAGACAAGATTGAAGCATCACGTAATGAATTGCACAGTTTACTTGAGAAGCAACAACTGACTGGAATTCCAGTTTTGGTACTTGGAAACAAGCGTGATTTACCACATGCTTTAGATGAACATGGCCTTATTGAACGCATGTGAGTTTTGTCTTTCCATATTATTAGAATATAATGTAATAACATTTTACACAACATTTCATCTCAGACTCATATCTAACAAATGTATTCCTGTGTATTTGTATATGATGACATGAAATTATAACAAAAAACTTTTTTTATGTATTTAAATGTTAAAATATTATACCATGATATACTGTATATATTAATATTTTTTAGGAATCTCTCTGCAATCCAAGATCGTGAAATCTGCTGTTACTCAATCTCTTGTAAGGAGAAGGACAATATTGATATAACCCTACAATGGCTGATTGCACACAGTAAATCTGGCAGTGCGCGTTAAACGCATTCTCAATTAACACAAGTCATCCGGAACACTTGAGGCGCAGGCCTGCACCGGCGCTATGCGCTTTACTCTATCAGATAAATGTTGCACTTATTTGGCCTAAGCGGTGTTTATTATTTACCACTCTTGCCAAATATCTTCACTATACTCTTTAAGCTAGGAGAAATTTTGATCCTTATCTTAGTATTTAGGTTTCGTTGAAACCGAACTAGTCTAATAGCAAATTGTTGAATTAACTGGCAACATTTGAATATAACTTCGCCTTGTGTCGAATGGAGACGACTTGTTGAATTGCTGATAGAGTTTTGCCAAGGCACTTATCGTTTGTAAGACTTGCTATTGATTGTATTGTGGTTAGTTTGCAGCTAGTGCATTGATATGTGTTTTGGCAAATTGTTAAATTTTCATATCGAATTAGAACCAATTTGATTGCTGAGAAAAACAGTGTTTGCCGTCTTAGTTTCTGTATGCTTCATAGGGTTTATTTTTTCTTAACATTAGTCCATTTTTACACAATTTAAATTCAAGTGATTAATACAGAAATTTATTAATATTACAAATAATGTAATAGATTATTACAAAACTGACTCATGGCATATCATGTTGATGTGATAATTCGGTATGAAGTTGTTCGAATTCCTTTAGATATATTATTAACTTAGCTTGAGTCGGTGCACTCTCTATTATAACTTGTGTTTCATATTAAATTTAATTTTGAAATCACGGCCGTGTGAATGGAATAATATAAAATATCGAAGGCGTGTATACTATAATTAAATGTGGCATCTTTTAAATTTATAAAAACTTTATACTCGAGATTGTTATCATTTTATAGCTGAAAAAAATTGGTAATTTATTATTCAAGAATTAGTTACGATTATTTATTTTAATCATTAAATATATAAAATTATATGAGTTTAGTCTCTATCATTTAAATTTATTTATCAAGAGCAGAAGGGTGTTGCATTTGGAAAGATTTTTTAATTTTGTTACAACTTATTTGTATGGGAATGACATTAGCTCACGCTTTGACCCGTTATGTTTTCATACAAATTGGTTTGGAGTGGGCCACGACTGGCGAAGTGATTTTGTCTCAAGGCCCTAGTACCCTTCGCATAAACTAACGTAATGTAGAATAGTTTGCGTTAGGCTAAACGCCGTCGCTCCGTATTTATAAATACGAACATATATCGTTCGAAAAGCATTCTTAATAAATGTATAAAATTGGCTGGAACGCATGACAGCTTTGTATCGGTATCTATGTAAACGAATGTATAATACAAATATTGTAGTCTGTGCTAAGGTTTATACAATTAACCCCTCTCTTAATTCAACGATTAAAGGTCTTAAATATAATTTATGCAAATCTTAATCATTCCTGTTAAGCACAAAGTAGCAAAAATATTCCATTATATTATTTGAAATATTTAAAAAGCTGCCACATTGAGTGTATGTAAATTAGATTACTTAGTTCTTCTAATATGTATAAATATTCTCATTGTTAGCTAAAATTAAGTTAAAATTTATAAAATATGATAATACATAGTGTGATACTTTTTTTTCTACAACATCAAAACGTCTTTCATTTTGACTTTTTTATATTTTATTCGATTGCTGACAAAAACTCGTGTTTTGCTTTTGTTAAAAGCCTCAGGGAATCGCCATTGCCAAAGAAATTAATACAAATACTGAATTTCTAAGTATTTAAAAAATACACGATGCGGCCAACTAATAAAATGACCCATTTTATTTTTATATGAATATTCTCCATAATTAAGTCTTTTTAAAAAAAACCCCCCCCCCCCCCCCCCCCCCCCCCCACCCGGGGGGAGGGGGGGGGGGGGGGGGGGGGGGGGAGGGAAAACAAAACAAAGGAGGGGGGGGGGGAAAAAAAAAAAATTAACCCCCCCCCCCCCCCCCCCCCACCACCCCAAGCCCACCCCACCGAGGGCCTCCCCCCCGGGGGGCGCCCCCCGGCCCCATGGGTTCGCAGTCAGAGGAACATCTTCCCTGTAACTTTTTAACGCACGCATTAACATTTGCTGGTAGTTTACTATTTAATATTAGGTACTATTCTTATTTATAGTAAAGGAAAATTCTATTCATTTTTTAAAGTCTTTATTCCCATAATTCGTTTTAGAATACAGAACACTTTAAACTGAAGACGTACTCATAGGAATGAATTACAGAATATTGCCAGTGGTGCGTTATTTTCTAATTTTGCTTATTTTTAGAAAATTCTTTTCTAAAATGTTTCATAAAAGTCATAAGTTGGCTCCTGTATTCCGATTTCCGAGTAATTTGTATAGAAATATAATTAATATTATTGTAAAAGGAACGATTGAATAGTCTTATAAAGAATCATACTTAATACCTATGAATAGTAAGTAACTGTCATACGATTTTAACTACATACATTTATGCGTGTAATTCACACGTAAATATATTACATTTTAATGTTTAAAAATTCGTGTTATATTTAAAAATATATACATTTTAATGTTTAAAAATTCGATAATTTCTTTTAAAAATGGAATCCAAATAAATACTTATTGAATAATATTACAATCATATAATTTGTAAAATACTGATTTATGATTTATATTTCATTTAATTAGTTATAATTATTTTAATTTTAAATATAAGGCCCCCTTCATCTAACCTAATTTTATTCTAAGTTCAAAGCTAAAAGTTTTGCTCCTACCTCTTAAAAGAATTATACTATATTTTTGACATACCGAAGTCATTTTAAGTAATCTTACACTTACCATTTAAACAAAAAGAAACAATGAAACATCCAAACTTTCACTTTGTCGAAGTTTAGGCCATGTCCTAGCTCCGAGTAGACCAGTAGGAATATAGCAATAAACTAAAGCTTTTGGATAAGACTATTGCTTTACCAAGGAACACGTGGTCTTACAACCGTCCTGCTTAGTCGATCTGGAATACCTGAGAAGCTTTGTGTCAACTAACTATGACCTCTTGGACCCCGATGTGATTATAGGCATCACGAAGATAAAAGAGAAAAAAGCGCGCTAGAGCCCTAAGGGTGTGGCAGTGAGAAACTTTGTATTAAGAAGCTATCTGAAGACTGACATCCCAGTAGAAGGAACAAAGGATTCTAAAGATATCCTGGTCTCCCTACTACCTAGGAGAGGTGATATCTGATACATCTGTTCAAGCTGAAAATAGTAACTAGAATCTGATAATGCTAGTCGCGCGATTATATTGAAAATGGTACTTAGCGATGCAGACGAAGACGGAACATGTGTTGCAGTATACCATACTGGGATGGAAACAGAACAAAAGTAAGTTTTACAATGGCTTGCCTGTGGCTAGGGTCATTGATGGAGATATCTCCAGATGATAGCTTAACCAAATTGTAGAGAACCAGATACCCAATAAAAGAAAAAGTGCGATGAGTACTGAACATAGTTGAAGTTTGCCTGAAATAAAATCTAAAGAAAGAACATTCATTTATGAAATTTAGCACATGCTTGGAAGGAACTTGAATCAATTATTAAACTCCAACATAACAGTTCAAGCCGATATACTACTTTTTTGGAGTCAGTTTTAAGTACTGAAAAGTTGAATGGTTAAAACTAGTCTGGCCGTGAAATTTAAGTTTATGTCAAGTATGCCAAGAACTGATGTTGCATTTTTAAAAAGGTTTGACATTAATTAAAACGGTTTATTCAAAAACCAATAAATCTTGAGTATTATTAAAACACACTCCAGTAAAATTAGCTGCTTGCCCGTTCTTTAATTCCAAAGCTTTAATCCTCATCTCCTGCTCATTAACCCTTTTAGTTAAAAGAGCAATTTTATCCATTAGGTTTTCAATAACATTGTTCATGTCTTTGGAGTTATCACTTTTCTTTGATTGACTGGATTGAGAGTCAGTGCTATCCATGGAAAGTCTGACTGGAATCACTTGTAGCCTTATATAAAACTCAGATTTCTTAAACGTTTCCAATTCCTCGGATGTTAGTAGATATTCTGGAACTTTGTCAAGATCATTAGCGTTTATGCTTTTGAGTACCTCGTTCAGTTTGTCAGCGTACACCTTCAGAATGGTCGGTTTAATTGCCCCAATGAGATTATTTTGCTCGTTCCAGAAGTAAGGGATACATTTTTTATCGACTGCTTGATAAAACTCATCTATCATGTCCTTAAAAATGAGACCGATATTATTCTCCCAATATTTGTCGTCGTTTATTTTCTGGATTTTCCATAGAAACAAGGTTTTGACGTAATAACTGGCGATATACTTTAGGCCAAGGACGTCGCGAAGTTTTTTTACCTGAGAAAAGAAAAAGGTGAACTGTGCATAGTAAAAAAGCTGTAACCTTACCATAAAATTTTAATTGGGATTCCAATAATTGGCTCAATAACTAGTAAACAATTATGTAATTGGCTGGACAAAACCAATTTAGATTAAAAATTTTAATAGTGATAAATTTTAATGTAATATTAATATGTACGAAAAATGCTATCCAAAGCTAGCTAAGCTTTGTTCATTAAAACGAGTGCCAAGCAGCGCCGGGAGGCCTGCCGGAAGTTGGAAACTGAAGTTTTAATAGAAAGATACGCCCATCATAGTTGTTCCCATAAAATAAATACCCACCAATCTTATAACAACTTTCAACTGCTTCAAATTTTTCATAACTTTCCTCTCTTGTTCCTGAAAGGAGAGCCGCCAACATTGGTTCTGCTCTTTAGCATTCAACGCTTTGTTTGGCTTTGGTACCACTAACCAATCTTTAGCTTTATCGTCATCTATATTCCTGAAATATTATACACCTTTAATTTCCGAAAATAAACTCTTTTGGGGAAGGAAAAAGGTTTTAATAATTTGACGATGTATGGCATGTTACTGGAAGCATAATTAATTTCTTTCGTTCCAAATTTAAATTTAGTTACGATTTTTACTGATTACCAAAATTTTAGAACTTCTATCTGCAAATTAAATCTAAATGATTTTCTTCTTTCATATTTTTTTAATAGCTCTACTTCAAGAAGCTTGTTCGCAACTTCGCGAACGTGACTCGGCGGCTAATTGTGCAGAGGAATTGGCAACGGTATCAAGAGATCGGTTCTGTCAAAGGAAGTCTCGGTTCGAGAAGAAAACGATGCACAAGATATGACCGCTTTGGGGCGAGTCAGGCGTTTGCTGAATCGTAAGAGCCTTAAATAAGTAAGGGGAGTAGAGTTTAGCTTGTGGACGGTCAGGAGGAGGTTTTTGGCTGCCAATAACAGGAGTCACCACCCGGCCCGGGGTCAAGGGAAACTGTGCTTTATGACAATAATTCACGACCGCACCGTTCTGGCGACGTGGAAGCGTACGTGCAACAAGTTTGGACCCGCCGTTTAGATTGGCCAACTGCAAGTCCCGACCTTAATCCAAGTGAGCATGTCTGGGATGTTAAAGAGATAAGATCAGTACCACCTGCTCCACAAAATATCAGAGACAAAAAGAGTCATTGCAGAAGATACGTATTTGTCAAAACGTTATTATAACAGCGTGGAAAACATGCACAGGATTCAAGCTGTGATTTTGGCAAGAGGAGGTCACGTGTCATAATTTATAAGAGGAGGAGGGAATGTATCCAGACATCAGCTGGAAGAGGCGTTTGTTTTATATGTCGACTAACTTTTAACTGTTAACTAAAGGCTTTGAAATGGTAACGGAAGTAAAGAGGTCACATAGGTAGACTCACAGATCAAACTGCCGTACGAACGAGACGCTTAAACGGGCCACAGTTAGGTAAAGGCAAAGGAGGTCTGATGAGGTCATTGAGATTACCAGCAGAAGCTGGCTGCACTAAACCAATGACAGAAAATATTAGAAGGAAATGGTGGAAGAATTTACACAATTAAACAATATTTTCTTAGATTTTCGAATGATGTTTAAATCAATAGATTCTTGGCCAGACTTTCTACTTCTGTGTGAGGTAAGAAAGCACAATTCACTTGTACTTGTTTTTTGCTGAATGGAGTTATTCGTACCTTTCTAGATAATCACAAAAGTATTTCTGACCCAATTCGACTTACGTCCTTCAAGAGCGTACGAATTCTTAAAAGGCCGGCAACGCACATGCGAGTCTTCTGACAGTTTAAGTGTCCATGGACGGAGGTAGGACTTGACATCAGGTGAGCCTGTCCGTTTGGCTCCTGTTGCATAAAAATCACGCAACGAGTTCAGCATTAAGATGGGTTTACAAATATCACAATCCAAACGACCTCGAAACCTATTGATAGACAAGATGTTAGAAGACTGCGTGAAAGATGTGCTTCAAAGTATAATTCATTAAAAAAACCAGTGGTGCTTTCTTTTAGTCTGTGCCTCTGTGTTTCGTGATAAAAAAATTTCTAAAAGGCAAGTAGATGATCAGCTTTCTATACCTGAAACACACGGTCAACTCGTGAGTCTAAGGCAAGTCGGTTTTCTCACGACGTGTCCTTCACCGTACATAGAACGTCGTACAGATTTTAAGCACATAGAAAAATCCATCTGTGCACTGGCGAGGTTCAAACCTACGACCTCAGGGATAAGAGGAGCACGCTGAAGCCCAACACTGCTCAAAATGTCAGTGTTGTTGATGTCTTAGTTAACTGAGGCTCACGATAGGATTTTATCGGTATGAAAATGTTTGACAAAAAAAAAAAGAAAAAAAAAAAAGGGGGGGGGGGGGGGGGGAAGAAGAAAGAAAAAAAAAAAAAACACAAAAAAAAAAAAAAAAAAAAAAAAAAAAAAAAAAAAAAAAAAAAAAAAAAAAAAAAAAAAAAAAAAAGGAGGAAAAAAAAAAAAGAGAAGGAGAAAAAAAAAAAAAAAAAAAAAGGGGGGGGGAGGGGGGGGAAAAAAAAAAAGGGGAAAAAAGGGGGGGGAGGGGGGGGAAAAAAAAAAAAAAAAAAAAAAAAAAAAAAAAAAAAAAAAAAAAAAAAAAAAAAAAGGGGGGGGGGGGGGGGGGGGGGGAAAAAAAAAAAAAAGGGGGGGGGGGGGGGGAAAAGGAAAAAGGGGAAAAGGGGGGAAAAAGGGGGGGGGGGGGGGAAAAAAAAAAAAAAAAAAAAAAAAAAAGGTTAATTGAAACTATAGTTTATTTGATAGCCCTATTTTGATAATTAAAATTAGGTTTAAAAATGTATCTATATGTAATTACTCTTTTGCAAAGACTAACCCTCCAATTCCTAAAAAAATCAATTGGTCTAATGTAATATAAACTGTAACTGTGACCATTTTACCTAATCTATCTCTTTTCATTATAGTGTCAATGCAGACAAAAGAGTACAATTGGTAAAAGAGTGCAATAAAAATTAGTTTTTAATATGGATGACTCAATTTTTGGAGATTATTGACCCACCCCCCGTGTAGGGCGCCGTCACGTTTTTTCTGTACCCAATAGTAAAACGTTTCGTGACCACCCAGTAACTCTTTATAGCTAAGAGTTATCATTATGTGCTGTAAAGAACTGGGAAGTCGAAAATAATATTAAAAATAACGCGTAATTCAATCCCCGCCCCGCATCGTCACGTTTGACAAAGGACTTTACTTCCAAGTCATAAGTGTACAATGTGTTACCTATATGATTAAATGATATTTGAATTTGACCCCTCCCCCAAAATTCGTTACGTAATACTTGAACGCTCCCATAGTTTAAAATAAAAAACAACCAGAAATAGAGACAGTTTGTCCCCATACAAAAACTCAGTAGTCTGTGCGGAAGAGAACTGTTGTGAACCTTTTTGTTATGTTGGCAACAGTAATCATTTTGAAACTTAATATAAAAAAGTTAAAGTATACAATTATTATAAATAAATAATATGAAACAACACAGGGAATAAGAATTATCTTACTTTCCATAGCCATCATTCCAGTTCTCTTTCTGCACAGACTATAATAAAAAATTTGTTAATAATAAAAAAGAGTTATTATGGAAATATAAATACACCTTCTGCTTATCCAGATTATCAAAGGGTTTGCTAATTTTCATTTTGACAAATCCAGGCTGAGCATTCTCCAATATAATTCCGTCCTCTCCATCCTCATAATTTATGGGTAGTCGTATAACTATGTTCATGTCAAATTCATCTAATTTAGACACTTTGATACCATCATACACACTCCCGGCATAGAGTACCTTGTATATTAAAAAATCTTTATGCAAACTTCTTTATCATTACATTTGTATCTTATTTACAGATAAAAATTGTTTTAATTTATGCCACAAATTTAATGTAAAAATCTTTATGAGACTGTCTGTGGCTCTAAGATAATTTTTACAATATTTGTAATACATGAAATTATATTGCAAAAAAATACGATTCAGGTCAGACTTATCATGTGTGTCAACTGATTAAAAAATAATTGCATTACAAAGCAAATTCTAACATTGTTATAGTATTTTGTTTAATAAGCAATTTATGTGGTATTATGATTTATTCCGTACTCTTAAAATTTAATTAAAAATATATTAATAACATATTAATGTATTTTTAATCTTTCATGAGTGCTACTCAAGATTTAAAATATACAAGCAGGCATGAGTTCACGAAAATATATAAAACAATTATACATACCTGTTTAGCATATTTACTAAAGTAATTACATTGCTCTTCCATCTTTTGTTTAACCTGTTCAAAGACACTGTTAAATACTTCTTGTGATTTTTTGAGATCCTTGTCTTTTAAGGAAATGAATTCCTTAAAAATTTCTCCAAGATACATATCTATATGTTTCCTTTTACCCGACATATTCCTGAAACAGAGAATGCATTGCATAAGTTGGATAATAGTAACTACACTGTATACCAATTTTTAAACAAATATTTCGGCGATATATAATAACAATTATAAAAGTGGTTACTTACGATTACTGTTTTAGTGATTTATATTATATATTATTTATATTTATAATTACAAGTATCAATACCGGCACCGCCTCGTGGGAAAGTAAAGTTACGAATCATAAATAATTAATAAACTATGAACTATGAAGTGTATTTCAGTAAACCAAAGACAAAAGTCAACAGAAGTGTAAGTCAAATCGACATTAGTAACGTCGACCAATAGGGGACAAGTATAATAATGTATTTGTTAATTTACTCTATTTTGATTGGTTCTTAATCGCCCAATGAGGCGGCTTACAACTATAGTCCTTGTCTGGGAAAGTACAGCCTTAAAAATGTTGATAATAACAAAGTTACCACTTTGTAATTAACGTATTAATAAAGGTGCGCTTACACGGGCAACTAAAATTACTCAATCCCAGTCAATACTCGTCAATTATGACGTCACGACTACATCAAGCAATTTACGACAACGGCAACAAGCATCAATCCTGCGCAATACAATATTGAGCGATATGGCGCAACTTCATCAACTAGGCAATACTGTGAGCTGCTCGCTTATACAGCTATCGCTTGTGTTTTTTTTAAGCTGTCTTTCACTTTTTTTTTTTTTTGCATGTTGTACATATTTACAATCTGACATGTCTTGTGCTTTTGCATATGCATTTTATTTTATTCTATTGACATGTTTGTGCTTAGTGCATATTCATTTTTTTACATTTTTTTTTTTTCTCTACATTACTGACATGTTTTGTGCTTAGTGCATATTCATTTTTTCTTTTTCTACAATACTGACATGTTTTGTGCTTTTGCATATAATATTTTACACTTTGACATGCCAAGTGAATAATGTTTATATTACGATTATATTTTTCAATTTCATTATTTTTTCCTTGCTTTAATGTACACCTTAAAAATACATTTTGTATCCATTGTAAGTGTAAACATTATGCGGGTATATCATAAACTCTTTTGCTTGATTTATAATTTGATACATTTTAGTATATAGTTATTTTGGGCTGGCGATCTGAGTGAGTTGTTGCCCCACATATTTTTATGGTGCCACTGGCGGTATTGCTGTGTACCGGGTTGTGCAGCTCCCTCAAAAATGGTTGAGCTGCATGAGCTATTCGGGGCATGCTTGCCGTCTGCTGGCACAGGCTTGCTCAGATCGATCTGGTTCTTTCTTCCAAAGACCAGTCCAGTAAATACTCTGCATTTGTTTACACCAATTTATTAATTTATTATTGTATTATCTGGACTATAAAAGAGACTAAGACCCCCGAGTTTGTTTCGACATTTCTTCTCAGGGCAGTCAGTTAGGAAATGTCGACTTCATCTAGTTTAGGATGACATTGTAAAAGTGATTTATATAGTCCTACTTGCAAGAATAAACTATTTCATTTCATTTCATTTCATTTCATTTCATGTCATACACGAGCATTTCAGTTTTCGCTCGCTATGGACGACATTGTTCTTGCTGCGGCGGCTTGTAGCGCTTTTTTTATTATTAATCAAAAACAAAAAACAAAGAAAAGGAATAGGCGTATCTGGGTGCGATCGTTTTTGGCAAAGAGGAAAAAAAATTTCATTATGTAAAGAATTATATGATATATTATTCAAAAACTTTACTACAATGTCACGAACAGACTTTGAATTACTTTTGAATAAAGTTAGCCCATTAATTAAGAAACATACGACCAACATTAGAGAACCAATTTCTGCATCAACAAAACTTGCTTTAACCCTTCGATTTCTGGCTACTGGTATTGCACTATTTGTACCTACTTTTTTTTTTTTTAAAGAACAGGGGGCAAACGGGCAGGAGGCTCACCTGATGTTAAGTGATACCGCCGCCCATGGACACTCTCAATGCCAGAGGGCTCGCGAGTGCGTTGCCGGCCTTTCAGGAAGTGGTACGCTCTTTTCTTGAAGGACCCTAAGTCGAATTGGTTCGGAAATACTTCAGTGGGCAGCTGGTTCCACAAAGTGGTGGTGCGCGGCAAAAACTGCCTTGAAAAACGCTCAGTCGTGGAACGGCGGACGTCGAGGTGATACGGGTGGAATTTCGTACTCTGCCTCGACGTCCGATACTCAGCTGCAGGTATTAATCCGAACAATTCCTCTGAACACTCTCCATGGTAAATTCGGTAGAAGATGCAGAGTGACCCCACATCTCTACGCAACGCCAAAGGATCAAGCCGCTCGGAGAGGGATTGGTCGTCGACGATTCGAACCGCTCTGCGTTGAAGGAGCTGGTACTGGGGAGCCCCCGCCCAGAGGTGAGAGCAGTACTCCATGTGGGGCCGAATTTGCGCTTTGTATAGTTGCAAGCGGTGGCCCGGAGTGAAGTACCGTCTCGCCTTGCTGAGCACACCAAGCTTTTTGGAGGCTAATTTAGCCTTTCCCTCCAAGTGACCGCGAAAGTGAACGTTCGATATGTCAACGACATTGCTAGGAATTTCCAAGTCCATTGGATATTCGTCAATTCGTATCTGCGACATTGAGCGATATGAAATATCTGGAGCAATTAGAAGCAATATCGCCGAAATAATTTATTGAAATTAATTGAATTTATTGAAATTCGTGTAAGCGCACCTTAAGGCCCTTTCTCCACTGCTCCGGTCCGACGCGGACGTCGGATACTGGAATGAGTCATGAGAAAAATATCGGAAGGCCGGATTGCGCTTCTCCACTATATTCGATCCGACAATAATCGATCTTGTGTATTTATCATGCAACACTTATTAACTAAAACCCATATACTTAATTTTATAAATAAAACGTTCTAAATTCTGAATATTTCATTGCCCTGGCTAGTTATTACTTTTGTATATTGTCTATCTTGAAATATTATAATCTACTTAATAAATATTTTACTAATACTATGGTATAAAAATATAAATAAATTGCAACATAATTTGGTTTGGTCCAGGTTATCCAGATTCTTTCAAATTAAAGAAACTATAAATAAACCTGTGAATAATAATTTATAACCTCTTGGATACTTGGACCGATAAAACACCGCGTTCCGAGCTAGCAAGTTATCGGATCGTTAAAAACCGGATGCCGGAGTAGTGGAGAAGCACGTAAGTACTGTTGTGAGTTTCTAAATCGGATCGGTAATTAACGTTTGCCGGACCGGAGCAGTGGTGAAACGGCCTAAGGCCCTTAGGCCGGGTTCCCACTACGCCGGACCGGCAGATCTGCCGAAAACCGGACACCGGACAGAGTGTTCACATTACATCGGATCCCGGAAGAAATTCAGACAGTCCTCAGTTGAATTTGGACCTGCGCGCACAATGGACGACGAAATTGTTGTGTTGTGGTGGTATCTTAATAGAAGGCAAAATAAAAGAAAACATTGGGTACACCCTATTTTACGGGAAAGATTTTCACTTGGAACATTTGAAACATTAATGGGTGAACTTAGAAGAGACGAATCAAAGTTCTTCAATTATTTTCGAATGACAGCAACCACTTTTGACGATTTACTGGGACGACTAGACATAAGAGTACGAGATACAAGTTTCAGAGAATGTATTTGCCCAGAACAAAGATTAGCCATATGTCTAAGGTAAGATTATTTTATGCACTAGATTGCGTAATAATAGTTTTGACGTAGGTACCTACTTAAGACTGTATGAATGAATGAATGTTTGCTATGTATGTTTGTTTCATGAATGTGAATATATATAATGTGTGTGTGGGGAGGGTGTATGTATTTGATAATCATTATGAATTAAAAATGCAAACAATTATTTAAGTATTTATTTGTACTCAAACTTAAATCCCTTCAAAATCTAAGTAATCTGAGTCTTGGGAATGTATGGAAGATTACTAGATGTGATGGCGAAGCTGGAATGATTGATTCTGAGATGAAGTTGATGGTATAGATGTTGTTGCCTGTTGATTGTACTATTATATTGGTAGAGTATAGGGTAGTGTTGATCTTGGTAGGTATTGGTGTTGATTGACGCTATTAGTGTGTAGTATCCAGAATACTGATCGTGGTTATCTGATTATATGAATCACGCAATGTCCGTAATTTGGTCTCTCATAATTCCTACTTTTAATTTTTTGCAACATTGTCATGACGCTAGCTTGAAATTCTAAAGTCTCTTGATATAAAGTGTTCAAGATTGGTATAATGCCTTTGAAGAAAGATAGATGATGGTTTTCCTTTTCTGGTTTAGATCCAAAAACTTTACCATCCTGTCATTTACCTCTTTATTATCAATTTTTTTTATCTTTAATAAAGGTGAACGAAAATCTGATTCCATGCCTACTTCAGTCTCGGTTCTTGCTTTTTTGAAACTGACTATGTGGTGGTGAGGTTGGAGACTTTTTCAAAAACATTAATTGCTCGTGATATAAATAATTTGTGTCTTTTTGGTCGAAGATCCAGATTTAGACTCATCTTTTTGTTTCTTTACTGTCTTAAGCCACGAATCTCGTATATTATTCCATTTAGTTGAAACCTGTTTTCCTGAAATCAATAAAAAAATATCATAAAACAATACAATTTGTTTCTTGGTACGTAAAAGTAAAATGTATAACAAAAAATACTTTTTTTTAGATATTTAGCTTCAGGATTTCATTCAAAGAAATACATTACTCATACAGAGTAGGCGTTTCGACAATAAGTAAACTAATAAAAGAAATACCCACGTCATTTGGGAAAACCTAAAGACAGATTTCCTTAAGCTGCCTGATACTGAGAGAGAATGGGAGGACATCCTTCAGGATTCGAAAGAAAAGCCAACTTTCCTCACTGTCTTGGAGAGTAGATGGCAAACATATCAGAATTTTAAACCAGCCAAGAGTGGTTCTATGTTCTTTAATTACAAGGAGTATTATTCTTTTGTATTAATGGCAGTTGTCGATTCAGAGTACCGATTTATT